AAGAACCCGACACCACAAGCGATTCAGCTCTCTGATAAATGTCCATGCAAGTTTCATAAGTAATGCCCGGTTCATCAGTCGTTGATCCTTCATCCCCAATCCACCATCCATCTTTGGCCGGCAAACGTTCGACCACGAGACAAGGCTGATCTTCCGGGCCGAGTCCGTGCCTCCCCAAATAAAATTACGGCATTTTCTTTCTAGGCTATCGCACACCCCATAAGGCAACGAGGTTGTCTGCATGGAAAAATAAGGAAGCGCGCTTAAGACGGACTGAGCAAGGGTCACTCTCCCAGCCATGGAAAGGGTCGAAGCTTTCCACCCCGAAAGTCGGTTCTCCGCGTTTTCCAAAATTTCATTATATGTCGCCTTAGTCACTCGTCCGTGGATAATGGGCATACCCAAATACTTCCCAAGATTCTGAACTTCCTCGAATCCCAGGCAGCTAGCCATGACTTGCCGGGCTCCGGGCCCGACATTCGAAGAAAAAAATACTTGTGTCTTGGGTTCGCTGACCTTCAATCCCGAGGCCTCACAAAATCTACTAAGAGTATCTTTAAGAATAACCGCCTGGTCGACATCCGCTTCAATAAATAATAGAAGATCATCAGCAAACATTAAATAAGGCACCGAAACCTGACCAACTATTTAAAGTCACCTTATCCAACTATTTAGAAAAAAAAATTGTGCAACTTTTCAAAATTTAAATACATTGATTTTTTTGGATTCTTATGTTTTGTTTTAACCATGTTTTACCAAGATTTTGGTAAGTTCGTATCATTTTTTTTTTCAAAGTTCATATCATTTACTTTAGGAAAGAAACAATTGCATAAACATTAACAAATTATTTCAATTTTTTAATTAAAATTATTTACAATTCAATTTATTTGGTAAAAAAAATCGGTGCAATGTTAGAAAAATTCGGTTGCATTTTTAGGAAAAATTGATAATTTTGTTATTTGGTTTACAAAAATATTCAGATCACTTTGTTTGATATAAAAAAATCAGTTTATTGGTATGAAAATCGGTTTCATTTTCAGGAGTAACTAATGATTTTTTTTTTTAATTTTTTAATTGAATTTTAGAATTCGACTTAAAATAAACAGTAGGTGAAAATCCCTATAAATTTATACTTTTTTTTCTACTATAATGTTGTTTAAAATGTTGTTTAATAAATAAGATTCATTAAATTTTTTAAAGTTTGTTAACTAATAACATGCAATTTTAGATAAAATTTGAACACATATGTAATAATTTACGTGCCGAATAATCAAACCAATAATGTTTTATATAAAGAAGTGTTTAATGACATATATATTTTATTTTCATGATATTTTTAATGCCATGATACAATTTAAATACAATAATACCATTTAAAAAGCAAATAGGTAATAAATGCTCACGTGCATCACACGGGTACCATACTAGTTGAAGTGCAAACTATGTGTGTGATAAACCATCGACAAACAGACAAAGTTCATTGAGCAAGTGGGAAATAAATTATGCGAGGGGAGCTTTTTTGCTGGGGAGATGGTCGCGCCGTGTTCCGATTCCCCCATCGGTG